ATACCCGTTATAAGGCGTAGTAGGTAGCGCGACATCTCAAAACACCGATCAGGATAAGGATCCCTCACCTTATTCTCCGTTATGACAAATTGAGGTTTAACGATGTATAATTTTATATTTTTGTGAAAAGTTAGAAAATCCTAAAAATAATTATAAGTCACTAGTGGAACTAGAATCGGTTAGCTCATAATTGTCCTGATTTCCTGTTTAATTTCTTATATTGTCCTACTTACTTATTATTGTACTGTGCATGTTCTTAATTTATAATTTCAATGGTCTTATCAATTTATTTGGTTATCTGGTTACTCGATTCCTTATTATGATAAGTTGCATTATATGTATAAATGTTGTAACGGCCCCGGAATTTTAGAATATAATATGTGTATTAAAAAGGTTAAATGCGGAAGGGGAATAAAAATTTGATTAACATCCCTTACACTAAAAACAAAAACGTACTCAAAGTATAAAAGAACAAACTAACTAAAAGAGAAACTTGAAAATAAAAGCTATAAATATAACTACGGAGTCTTCAGGCGTCCCCTTCGCCGTCTTCCTGCGGAACGGGCTCGGGAACAATATCTTCCTGATCTGAAATGATTAAATAAGTAATGAGCTACACCAGCCCAGTAAAGACATCACACTATCTCACCGTCACGGAGATAAAGGTGGGTGGAAAACAAAAGACCAATGGAGTATAATTTATAACAAATTCTTTTATCAATAATAAAATCCTTTACTATCCACTTACATCGGTGAAGTTCATAAAATAATATACGAAAGCAATAACATTATCATTATCATGAAATCATATGAGCTGTATAACATAATACTTGTCACATCTTTGCAATTCAATCATTACACAACATATTTTTCCTCATTTACCAGCCTACTAGTATCCATGGAGATCCATAGGGGTCCCGCTATCCGTGAACCCTTAACACTTGTAATCAGATTCCAGGGCCGTCCCCGTACCCCGTCCGATATGGGCGCCAAAACTATAAACCTCAATACCCCGTCCGGTATGAGGGTGAAACGGGCCGTCCCCATACCCCGTCCGGTATGGGCGCCAAAACACATAAGGTCTCCGTACCCCGTCCGGTATGAGAGACCACAATCCCGGTAGGGTTCCCTACGGACCCGGTCCGTCCACCATCTCTCAGGATATCTAGTCAGGCTGACCACATTATACAATTATCAATTTACATAACCTTTCATTCCCCTTTTCCTCAGTCAGCATCATCAATTCACACACAAACAAGCAAACCAGTAATATATGCCAAACAAGACAACATACAACATCGGGTTCTCGGTCATTCAACCCATAATCAATAAAACAGTAATATATACACACGAAACTATGAAATGAAAACATCAGACCTCATACTGCATTTAAAAACTGTAAAATAGACAAACAACAATTGACCGACAAATACACTAGATTCGGGCTCCATTAGCGACCTTAAACGATTTCACACATCTATTAATTCATGAAATACCGTTTTATCATTTATTGAACTTTAATACCGTGATAGGAAATAGGGTGAGGGGTCCTTACTTGTTTCGGGGTCCGAATACGGCTCTACAGTGCGTCTGCAGGCTGTCCCTAATTTTCCTGAATTTTTTCCAGGGAACTGAAACGCACTACTGGTACCTGCATGTGTCCCAAAAAATCCCAAATTAGACCCAGGGCCCCTTTCGGCCAATATCGCAATTCCGGCATTGTGGCTCCGCTGTGTTCCGGCAACGGCGCCGCCGCTTGCGGCGGCGATTCGCCTCGGGTTGGCCGTTTTTTGGCCGTTTCCGGCCGAATTCGGCCACACTTGCATTGGTCCCTGTGATAAAACAATCCTAGGGCCCTTGGGGGGCCAAAAAATTACGAAAAATCGAAGCTTACCGGCGGTGGTGCTCTTGAGTGGCGGCGGCCAGCTCCTCCGGCGAGGTTCGTGTTTTGGTGATTTGGCTCTGATCAACCTGTAGAGAAAAGAATGGTGATCACGGTAATATAAAAATTGTATCAAACGGAGGCCGGGAAGGGCCTCATCGGAGGCAAAAACTGAGGAGGGGCGCGGCGGCGCCGCTGGGTTTCGGCCATGTTTTTCGGCCGTTTGGCTGGGATTTTGGCTCCGATTTGGCCACAGAAAAACTCAGCATTGAAAAACGAGCCGGGGGTATGAAATTTACCTCGATCAACGGTCGAAAAACTCCCCAGTGCGGCGGCCGGCTCCTCCGGCGTTTGGTTCGTCTTCTCCGGTGAGGGCAGGGGGCTAGGGTTTTTGTGGTCAGGTGTGGGGGTTCTATTTATACCCTTTTGCTTTTTGATCACAGCCGTCCATTTTGATTAAATCTGGACCGTCCGTGCGCGATTGAATCTGGGTCGTCCCGTGCGCGTGCATTTGAGCCGTCCGTGCGCTTGCATTTGGGCCGTCCGTGCGCAAGCTTAATCTGGGCCGTCCGTGTGCGCGGGAACGCATCTGCGCCGTCCGATCACGCGCATGCGGATTGCCCACGTGGCCCGTTCCTGGGTCGACATGGTCTTGCCACGTGGCAGGTCCTGGTTGGCCAGGGCTGCTGACTGGGTCGCTGACGTGGCTACTGACGTGGCGCTGACGTGGTACAATTTTTCTAAATTGCGTTTTGACATCCGGTTTCTGATTTTCTTTTCAAAAATACTCACAGAATCCTAATTTTCACCCCTTTTTCCCAAAATCAATTTCAATTAAATCCTAATAATATTTTTACCCAATTTTATCATTATTATTATTTTTATTCTTATTAAATTAAATTAAATTAAATTAAATTAAATAAATCAATTAAAATTCAAAAATTATAAAATAAACTAAATAAAATAAATTCAAAAATTAATTAAAAATAATAATAATAAATGACAAAATTAATGGGTGTTACAAATGTAGTCTAATTGATCTGTAAATATAATATGAGCTATTGGTATGTGTTTGTTGGTTGTTTTACTTGATGAGAATCTTTATGTGAAAGACTTACTAGTACCTAGGAAAAGAACGGACGGGTTCGGTACGTAGGGAACCTTACCGTGAACGTCACCTCAGTCAGACGGGGCTGAGAAGTCCCATACTGAAAATGTTTTGGAGATATAGTTCACTTTTATACCAGACGGGGTATCGAGAGAATTGGATGTTTGACACCCATTACCCACGTCTTCATAGGTTAATTTTGGAAAACTCATAATTGTATGTATCAAACAAACGTTTTTATGTTAAATGTACTTAATTAAAGCAAGAGCTCCATCAGTTGTTTTTTAATTTTTACCAATCTTCAGTTTTTTGTATCTGTGATTGGTGTGATATTCTTACTGGGATAGTGTAACTCATCATTTCATTAATTATTTCATATTAAGAAAACTAAGATCCAGATCCAGATCTCGATCAGTAAGAGGGTTGTGAGTAGTTCACCACCCCGACTCCCTTCAAGTACTAATGAAAATTGTTATAAGATGCTTATTTATTCGTTTTTCTTTAATTACCGTTGTTTTTTAGAAGATACATTCCCAAATCCTTATTGGACATTCTGAACTATTGCATAAAAAATGTAAATCTTAAACTCTATTATTCGCTTTCGTATTTAAGTTATAAATTTATTTTCTTAAAAAATTCAGGCCTTTATAAATTCAATTTTAAAAGATTAATTGTTAAGAAATATTTTTTTCTGTCCGAATACGTTTTGACTAAACTCAATTTTATCATTATAAATTTACTAATACACTAATAAGTTAAATTATTTATTTAATTAAATTAAATATTATAAATTAATCACTGCTAATCTATACTACATTTATAAATGACAAGTTATATATTCTCAGTAACATTAGAACTTCTGATTTTTAACTAAACTGCAATAATTTTATAAATTAATTTGGTATTTTTTTTATTAAAAAAATGTGAGGAATTATAATTAGTGCTTATTAAACAATTATATAAGTAATATTTAATTAATTTATTTATTTTTATTAATAAATTAACTTGATATTTTTTAAAAAATAATAAAATATTATGTCAATTTTTTTATTATATTGTAACTATTTTAATTAAAAAATTTAATTATTGATAAATATGATTAAGCCAAATTTTATCATTACAAATTTATTAATACACTAATAAATTAAATTATTTATTTTAGTAAATCAAATATTATAAATTAATCACAATTAATTCTTATTATATTTATAAATAATAAATTCTATATTTTCGTATTTCTTTTATTAAAAAAAAATGTGAGTGATTATAATCAATGTTTATTAAACAAAACTACATTTTGCTTTCACGTGTGAGTACGCCCGCCCAACATGTGTATGAACATATATATATATATATATATATACATACATATATACATATACTATAATTAATTTTTGGTCAAAATTTTGTAATTGGAGCGTGATTGTTGGATCTTATTTTCAACTAAAGAAATAAAACATGCCCCAGTAATGATCTGCACAGAAGTTGGCCGAACAGACATCGTGGAATAAGAGACCTACAAGTTCACACTCTAAGAAGTTCTAATTAATTCGAAAATTAATTTTTATCTTTGTTAATTGCATACTAATACCAATCTCCATTGAAAAATGATACTGTTGACTTAGTATTAATAACACAATTAAATTAGTATTTTAATTTGGGTTTTCTCACAATTATACATATACCCAATAAATCATGTTTATAGAAATAATTAAAAAAAAAAAATTAATCTCATTGGCTACTTTCCTAATTAATTTTTTGTTTTTAATAAAATAATCTCCTATTAAGCTTGGTTTAACCTCGTATGAAGAAATTTCCTAATATTATTTTTATTTTTATTTTTCACTTTAACCAAAATATCCACGTAATACCAAAATCTTTATAACTAATAAAAAAATAAAAGTTGACTTTCATTTTTTTTTTTTATACTTGAATTATTCAATAAACACTACTTGCATACCTAATTTCATAAATAAATAAATATATAAACAGAGTCAAAAATAAAAATAATTTTATATAACAGGAACTTAGTACTTGTGAAGGGTAAGCCTCGAGAAAAGAAAACTGCAGTGTGGAAAACCTGTATTAATCTTACAACATCAACGTCGGGCTGCTTATGAACACCTTGAAAATAATTTTTAAAGAAAGAATCATTTTAATTCAATGTGATCTACAAATATCAAATTCAACAAATGCAAAACGATAAGGATCACGACTTGCTGGAACTCGTTATCCAAGGTTCTGCTAGCGAGGAGCTTAACGTGGAGTCAGTCATCGGATACGGCAACATTAAGTCTAGCATACGACCTTCACCTGCAACCGCTAGCCTTTGTAACCTGTCAAATGAGTTCCGATCAAAGGAGTTGCCAGTCATCCTCGTGCTCACAGCCCTCTGCGTCAATTACGGGCATGGCATCTGAGGAATCATCCTCGCCAACTCTGCTGCTACCGCCCAAGATATTGTTGTAGTTAACTGGTTTGGAAGAACTATGGTGTTGAACCACAGTAAACAATGGAGCACCATTTGATTCCTTCGCTAGTTTAGATGCCCGGGAACAAAAATCATCAAAATCATCTGTCAGGTGAGAAAAGATAGGCTTAACTGAGGTTTTGCTCTAATGCTGGAACAAGAAAATAAAATTGTAAAAGGAATTAAGCTAGAAACAACTGCTGAACCTTTGTCTCGGCAGTAAAATCCAATTGCCAAAGATGGATCTATTGACTCCAAAGAAATGTGACGTATAACACTGAAGCAATTATTTAAAGAAAAGGACATCTTAGTAATTAGCTTAGGTAAAAATTAATGACAACTTTAGTCTCGGCAAGAGGGTTACTCGCAGTGATAAGACGAAGTATCCACATCTAGATTATCTTTGCTGACTTTAACTACCTAATTATCAATCATCATCAGAAAACTGCAATCAGTATCAGGGTCATCATAATGGAATAATAAGTACAATAAAATTATGGCAAACATACAATCCAGAATGGTTTAAAAGAGTATCAAATGTTTTCTTTTCTAATTTAAAATCTTGGACTCCTAGGAAAATTGATGTTCGTAATTGGAGGCAATTAGCTTTTATGATGCTCGACAATTTCACATTTATCATGTTACTTATGATGCATTACAGAGAAGAAGAGCAAGTTGATAGTCATAAAACATCCCCACAAGTGTACAAGAGCTCAGGCATCTAACATATAGATTAATACGCAAACAAATGACTAAAAAGATATGATAAACTTGTGCTTTACCGGCTGAACTACATGTGGATCAAGGTAGTAAACGTTATCTCCTTGCACACCAACAATGTAAGTTGAGGCACCGGGTTTCCCACCCAATATGCCAAGACTCTGAGGGAAGGTGAATGTTGCCCACAAAGATGGAATATATCTGACATGACATTAAAAAAATTCCTTACATGAGCTAATAAGTGCAACAATCAATTTCCTCAGGTGAAAGTTCAGAAAAAAAAGAACAAGGAAATTCAACTGGTTTATAAAGACAAGAACTCGTGCTTAATCTCAGTTTGCAACAGGGCATAGCCTCTAATGAACAGAAACATAAAACCCACTATGATTGTGCGAAGTTTTCTTTTTCTGAAGTAAAAAAGTATAATATGTCCATAAATAATATGGCACCAAGGTGGTACCTCCAATTTACAAATATTTACATCTAACTAAGTATATCTATGACATTATCAAAATCCTCCATCCTATAAATGTCATGACCCAAAATCAAAGAGCCAAAATAATTGTATCCATCTATTCCTAATTTTAGGTATCTCACTCTCTATTATCTCAAACACTCTTCTGTTTCTCTCCTTCCAAATTACCCAAAAAGTGATTGGATGCAAAGATAATCCCTATATTAATGCATACATGACAAATATTAAATTACCGGGCATGATATAGCCTGTCTGCTTCAGAAATTATAGGGCTATTTTTGGCTATAAACAGGACTCGAGTACTTGACGTAGGAAAGATATAGATAGCCCGTTTACTCAAAAATTATGGTGCTATTTTGGGTTATGCGCTACTCAAATAATAATCATATTGTACTGGATTTATCTCTCAGTTTTCCAACCCAGGAACCAAATATCATTTGCCATCAGAAGACAAATTAAATAAACTCAATCATGCATTATGGAGTAGATAAAAATCTAAGCTACAAACCTGGGATTTACTTTTTCAAGCCCAAGAACCAAAGGAACCAGTAGAAGAATTGGTGTCCAGTCAGCTTGACCTTTTGAAAACTCCAAACAATGTCTCGAAGCATCTTCAATGCAGACAACTGGAGCCCCACCTCGCTCCCCATTTTCACAACCAGAAACTATATAAACAGCCATTGGAAGGGACTGATGTTCAAGGTTACTTTCCTCTTTCTTACTGCGGGCTAGAGACTCCCATGCACAACATGTGGCATATGGGCCTATCCACGACCCAGCAGCTAGACCATAAGTCCTCCCAGCAACAATAAGATTGTGGAGAGAAAATGCAGATGCCTCGGAATCACCAAACAGTTGCAGGATTTCCAGATATTCTTGTTCCAAAGGCTGCATTATTAGAATGGCACTGATATTAACAAAACTATTTGGCAACTGAACTTTCACTGATGTCAATATCTCAAGATCAACCAGATTTTTGTTTTAGCAATACTAAATAAGTACAGCACTATATGCTTACTGGAATAATTTATATCACAAGTTGATCAATATACTTGGTAACTTTGTTGTCTGGCACCCCCTTATGCAGTGAACAAATATATTAGGCGCTCTTGATAAAGTTGTTGGTGTTCATTAGTACATTTGCACAACGCCTTTATTAGATTCAGATATGCATAATAAATTATGAATTTTCTGGTCTTATTTACAAGATTAGACTTCAGCTTTAAGATTTTTAAATCAGTACACTTATAATACCAATTAAATTGTTACTTTGCTACACAAGATATGGAAAAGATAGAAGAGATAATAATTCCCTTTTAAAGTACATTTTAATCACAACATAAAATGGTGAACTTCTAAAAGGCCTTTACAAATGTATTTTATGACCTGAATATTTATTTCAATATACCAGCCATAATTATAATTTACAGCGGTATAAATATATGTAAAAATAGATAGAACACAGATGACAAGAGGCATCCATAAACAGAAGACCATCAAGATACCATATCACCCTACCTTGGGGACAGATTTTCTCCAGCACCTCCCCAGCTTATGACAAATTAATGCCTGTACAAGTAAAATGTTGTTATATACACAAACTAGGCTGAAAACACAATTATAAGAGACCAAATTTCTTTTAAAAGCAATCAAAATCATCACTTTGCCACCAATCAACTAGAATTCATGCGGAAAGAGGACTATGATCATGCTGAAACCACTCTACTGGCATACCTGAGCAATAAGCATTTGGCTGCTTCTAAGCATGCAACCCCAGTTTACATCACTGGTAAACTTTGAATCTCCAATAGGATCAAAGCCTGAAAAGAACAAACCAAAAATAGTCCTTCTAACAACTCTAATCTACTGGTTTCAACACATCGTGTAAGAACAAGTTTTAGTAACACAGACCTTTACGATATGTTATCAGTATGCGTGATGAAAAATCTTGTTTGAATGCTAGTAATCCATTGCCAGCAGCTGCTTCCCCAGAGGATTCATCCTGTGAAATTTTATATAACACACCAAGAAGCCATATGTCAACAGTTGAGCTAGAAATGCCTGTCTTGCTTGGGCCTAAAACACGCTCTTGAATTCTCCTCATTGTGCCACCAGCCACACTCTCTTCACAGCTGCTGTCACCCATTTTGTTTAGTGTGCACTGCTCTTTCACAGTGATGCCTCGCTATGTG